TACGCAACGTTGCCCCCATTTAAGCGGCTTCGTATCTCTTACCGTTTCCGAGATCCCAATGATGGGGGTCGAATTTGACACACCCGGTATACAACCAAGTCTTTTCAAACAGAACATCAAAATTGGATGCCAGTTGCATAGGACGCTATATAAGTATTGACGAGCAACTATGCAACTTTGTGGCCTTCACACAGTACAATAGTGAACACATGTACAAAGTGAAACGGTAGGTCGTATGGACAGACAGATTCTCATATCTGGAAATAAACGAGCTCCAAGTTCATTTTTTACGTAACGACAAACCTTTAATATCACGTATGGTACTTCAGGCACTATTGAAGTGAGTTTGATTGAATACTGCATAACAAAGTTACACAATAGTAACGTAAAACTAGTGGGAGGGTTGAAAAGTTTGAGGTCTGATTTCGTTTCTTTTAACTATTCTATATGTTATCAAAGTCAACACCTTTTGAGATAAATATCGAAATATTGGACTACGTACAGGAAGTAAGTGGATAGTACCAGGTTCATAGCAAAATAAATTGTTTGCGGCTCTTCTGTCTTTTTTGCTAAACATTTTCATTTAACGAAGCACCTTACATTTATTTGCTATGCGACGCGAAAATTTCGAACGTTAACGGCTTGCGACATCAAAGTTTTGCGAAATAGTGGTTAGAATTAGACTAAGAATATTTTTAAGACCCAAAAATCCAGGATCAGACTCAGATTTTAATTTATTGGTATTTTATCAAGTGAAACGCTTTGTATCTTATACTCTGATTTTGTTATTATTTCACAGCAAAACGAGCAATAAAAAGGCAAAATTAATGTCATGCATCCTATTTCCTTTTTTCATCATCATTTTTAATGGTGTAATTCCACCAGCTGAAATATGGGTTCTGTTTTAGGGCGAAACAGTACGCCAATCCACTGGAGGTGCCCAATATGTTTCTGCTTTTTATTTGCGTCGTTTACTTTGCTAAATAAAAGTAACATAATAAATTCAGAGTATAAGTTGCAGGAACTAAAACTTAATAAAATACAAGAGATCAAAAGAAAACGAAATCCGGTACTGTAATTTTGAGTTCATAAAACAAATTTAGTTCATTTCTATTCTAAAATCAAGTGGGTAACATCTGACATTTTGAGTTTTGTGTTATCTATACTAATAGAAGCAAGATATTTAAATAAATAAAAAAATAATCAAACCAAAATATTCGATATCCATTTTTCTTGTTTTTCATTTATTCGTTGGTTTTATGTACATTATTCAGCTTAAGAGTTGTTGATTCTGATAAAAGACAAGAAGGCTTGAAGCATCGAGTCCGGTCCTGGATGTTTAACCATCTGACCAGTTTTGCATTACCCCTAAGTAACTTTTCCATTGTGCAAAATTTTATCGGCTGAACGGTGGCTGAAATATGCGATATTAAATATTTGACGTGCTTTCACTCTCGGCAAAAAATTAATTTAGAACTTTTTGATTTTCAGATATAAAAGGGGCTACCTGCTATTTGAGTACGCCTATTTCCTCACGGAACACTATCTACACCCGAGGCCTATGCTGGGAATAATAGAAGTAAAGCTTGTATAGATATAAATTCGTAATTCCTCTTGCTTATAAATCAAATTGGTATATCTAGCTTTTAGCTTCAATCACGGATATTGTTGCATATCCAATTCTGTCAAAGATAAAAAAGACCAGTAACCGAATTATGGACAACGTCTGGAAATACTTGCCCAAACTTGTTAAGCGGAGTTCTGGCAGCGGACAGCTGAACGAGTGTGAATGAACTAGGTCTAGCAGACTGTCGGTTACGCGGAGGTATGGATCTGTGCTTTACAACCAAAGTATTAGAGACAGCAAATTGCTCTAAATTTCGTTAGAGCTCGGAAAAGTTATGAGAAGAATGAGAATTACCTAATGCCTGGCACCTCGTGTAAATATGTCGACTGACTGTATATCTTGCTCGTTTAGGAGCATCACAGACTGCCGTGATCGATACTGGAATACAGGTTGCTTATATGGTGATGAAAAGCCAATTATCTAAGCTTTACTGAAAATTATGATATATGTGTTCATATTCGCTCATATGTACGAGCCCCATCCCACTTCAGTTGGCCCAACTATTGAAATCTTAGTTTTTTTATTATAAAACACAAATAATAAAAATGTAGCAGGGTGTTATAGGTTTAAAATATTAACAATGAATATTTTGATAATATATAGTAGAAAACACCAACTTTATCACTCCGTAATCAAATTTACAGCATAACACATGTTGCAATTACAGCATATCAACCTATTTTCATTTCAATGCAAAATAAGTCTATAACGCATAGGTGGCTGTAAAAAATAAAAGCTATGATAATTGTTTTTATTAATCACAGCTGTCAGAATACGTTTAAAATAGTTTTGGGTAGTTAAGGTTTTCAAAATCGGTAGAGGAAAGGTTATTAGTGCGAAAATTCGGTTAATGATAATTAATTTTTTTAATTCTGTGAAATCAAACTCAGAAATTGCAACTTTGTTAGACTTATCGCGGTACAGTGTGAGAAAGATTGTTAGAAGATATAACGTAACTGGTTCAGTTAATATTAAGCCACGATATGTGAAAAAAAGTAATATCACAAATGCCGTCCGAAGAAGAATAATCATGAAAAACAGGCGTGTCAATTATTTACAATTAAGTGCTCTGTGGAGTGACGCTGTTGGAAGGAGAATTCAAGGTCCACAACTCATAGAGAGGCCCACAAACTGGGATTTAGCACCTGCAAGGTAAGTTTTTTTATAAAAAAAGAGAAGTAAAAACCCTAAAGTTGCACAACTTGTTTATAGGCCAAAGAAAAGCCACTATTAACTCCATTGCAAAAGAAAAATCGGCTAAAGAATATAGATAATGGACACCTCAACAATGGTGTGCAATACAATTGAGTGATGAGGCCAGATTCGAAGTTTGTGTTGTTGACAGTCGCAGTAGAGTTATTCGCAAAAGATGAATTTCATGTTGACTGACTGAAGAGAAAAGTGAAATTTCCAGCATCCATTATGGTCTGGGGCAGTATGTCTTCAAAAGGAGTAGGAAAACTTCATTTTATTGATGGAAATGTGAATACAAACAAATATTTGGCAATTTTAGAAGAATCGCTTTTACCAGTGATGGAAGAATGTTTGACATCCGGCCAAGATTTTGTGTTTCAGCAAGGTGGTCAGCGTGCCATACCTCAAAAAAGGCTATAAAATGGATGGAAGAAAATAATGTACCACTTTTGAAATGGGTTTCTAGCAGTCCAGATCTGTCACCCACTGAAGCTTTGTGGCACGAGATGAAAAAGGTTCTACGACAACATCGTGCTCGTACAATCACCGAACTGAGACAAAAGCTTCAAGAAATATGGGATTGTTTTACACCAAATGTTTTCCAAAGAATTTCAGCCGTAATAAAAAATAAAGGTGATGTTACCCAATGTTAATCTTTCAATTGTTGCTTTGTTAACTGCGCGCATTTATTCGCACATTGTTTATTTGTTCAGATGTTCTATTAGTTATAGGTCTAAGTGATTTCAAATATGTATTTTTTACGACTAGAGTGTATCTAAAATGTTTTTGAGAAAATAAATTGTTTTAGAAGTAAATAGTTTCGTCATGTTTAGTTTATAAAGGCATATTTTGGTACAAATCTTGAAGTGGGCCAACTGAAGTGGGAATGGGCTCGTACTTGGACCACAGTCCATGCCTAAATAGACGTGCGTACTGGAGGGGTCGCAAAGGAAACGAGTGGGGAACGTCACAATTCTAGCAAGGGAACACACGGCATGGCACATCCTGGTCTTAGAGATCCGCTGGGTGGTACCCTGACGTTCAACGGTTTCACACCGTCTATCAATTACGGAAAAGCTCTCGTTGGACGGAACTCGAACCGGCGCATCTTACAACGAATAGGTTAGTAGTACACAGCGTTAGCCACTACGCTACCGGTCTGTCCAATAAAAATTATGTGAAATCACCTAAAATGTGTTAAGCGCACTATTAACATCATTTAGTTGGATGATCTATTCAAGAAATGCCTCAGGAATTTTGGTAAATCCAAAAGCGTCGACAACGAAGCCGAAGGCTCACTTGTGCGTACACTGCACAGAAAATGAATTTCAGGTGTTACGCATGTTACGTCTCGGCAATATTGCTTGATGTTAATGAACCAACAAAGCAGGGCAAAACGCGAGTGAAATTAAGATCCGTATGGATAAGGATTTCGCGGTGTACGTGCGGTATTTTTCACGCCGAATTTGAGAAGTTGTTCATTGCTACTTTTCATCATTTTCCATGGCAAGTACTTGTGGAGAATCAGCAACTTAGCACGAGCACATGAGTATGAAGAATGAATTATTAGGTCAGCTAATAAGTGTTTGATTTGTATTTAATGAAATTACAGTTGCAAAATATACGCGATGACTGTGTATGAGCTTGAAAGGGAGTGTTGAGGAATTACCGGATATGAATACCTTCTCACAATAGTTCCGATTATAATTCAGAATTCGGGAAAGCAGAGAATCCGATTGTAATATTGTTAGGCATAACCAGTCTGTCTATCTGACACTTTCAAAAAACTGCGAATGAAGGCATTGATAAAACCCTAAATCCAAAAGGTACGTTAGATAAATAGATCTAAATTTTCTTGATCGAAGTAAAGCATCCAGCAGACTATGTTGACATTTTTCACATACATCTGTACAAATGTTGCTCTGCTTGCACTGGGCTTCCGACAGCCACACTACACTACATATAGTATTGGTTTCATAGGTGTACGTGTCTTCTCTTACACAGTTTAATTTTCTATCTCTAGTTTTCGTGGAATCTATAACTCATCAATCAAGAATAGCTAACGCAAATAACTTTTTCGCCGCTCTCGATTTTAATTAAAGTTTGAAGTGTTTACATCGCATTGTATTAAAGACTTCAATTCAGTCAAAGCAAATATTTTCCATTTTTTCTGTTGCAGAACTGGTAAGCTACACTACCCAACAAACGTCTGTGGGCCGCTGTTTGAAGAGGAACTGGAGTTTTGGGGTCTAGACTCCAACCAAGTGGAACCTTGTTGTTGGAGTACATACAGCGTCCATAGGGATACCCAGGTATGCTATCATCATGTTCTCTCCTCATTAGCATATAAACGTCTTTTAAGCTTGGTTGTAAATTGAAATAATCGCACATTGTGCCTAGTTCCCAATAAGAAAAAATTTTCGGTACGGGTTTACCTAACAATACTGGTGGCGGTTTTTCCAAGATATGCGAGCGTTTTTTACTTACAACGCCAATTAGTGGGGAAGTTTTATAATCGCGGAACAATTCGAAAATAAGATAACAGTTGCCCTTGATTTACACTCAATTTCAGACGTGATCACATCACTTCAGTTTGCTGAGTTATTTGAACGTCCCTCTCACCTACCTACTGTTTTATGTACTACGCAATTGCTGAATAAACTATCACAGGCTGAAATTTAACCATTTCATTAAGTCGAATCAGAAGAACTAGTTTCCTGTTTCCGATATAGTGGGTAGTGCCGCGTTTGGAGAACTATCTATAAATGGCAGGGTGATCTCAGACTCATCTCTGTTTGGACTGTTTCACTTCACTTGCAAAACGAACTCAACAAGCATATTTCTGGACGTTATATCACACACAAACAATGTCACTTATTTCCATCGGCCTGTTCATCTGTAGGTCTCTCTGTCAACAACTAATTAACTAATTCTTGCTCCTTTATAGCTAGAAAAATACCTCTCGGATTTGGACATAAGATTACTACTATGCAAAGGGTGGAAAAGGTTTGTAGGCTTTGAAGACCCAGTGTAGCGCAGATACCGACAAAAAAAGAAAAAAAAATGAAAATCTTTCAAACTTTGCTTATTGATGTCTAAAGGATTAATGACTCACAAATCTTTTACAAATCAAAATTTGGGGGTTGGCGGCTGTGGGATTTATAGGGAGGTTTTAAATGTTGTGTCGTTGGCACCAGTGAGATTGGATACATCATACGTAGTTCCTATACACTTACCCGAGTAATTCTAGCACTGTCTACTCAGCAACACACCATCATTTCACTACTACCAGCAGTTGGCCCACGCACACGACCAGTGCGGGACAGTGCAATATAATTCATTAGGAATAAATAATAATATTTGGTGATCATATTAGAGCAATAGTTATTAGCTATGGAATAATGGGCAGACGCTTAACCGTCAACTGCTAATATATAGGTGAAAATTTTTGGGAATGCATTATTTTAACCATTATTGTAACTGTTTTCACGTAATCTGGCTCTATCGCATGTCGTTATACAGGCGTATAGGGGTCTTCACAGCTGCCGAACAGAAACGATATAAGGGCATACAAGAGTTGTCTAGTTATTATGCATCATGTATACTGAATTTTAGAATATTATTAAGGCAAAGTTCAGTAGGACAATGCAATAGTATTATGACAGATCTGATGGAGCTGATCATGGATCATCTAGTTGGGACTAGTGTGATAGTTCTTGACAGGAACTTTGATTCCAGGGTTTGATCAGTAAGTTAGCCAACTATTATGTCAAATAAATATTCATCTATTTATATCGGTCGAAATCTTTTAAGAAAACATATACATTAGAAATTACTGAGCCAGAAATTTGTTGTAGATGCTAAAAAGTAAAAAACAGATGGAACAGATAATAATAATAGACGTCTTTATTTATCCACAATTACACTGTAGTATAGCCAAATGTCAGACTTACATGGCGAAGTTTAGCATGCTTCTACTCTTACACTTAACCATATAGTCGCTAGCAGATGTTCAAAAGTATACACTATCCACAAACAGATTTGGTTCATTACATCGAAAGTAAAAATTAAAAAAACCCAAGTACACCAAAAAATTGTTAACCTGAATTAAAGACGGAAAAAAACGAAATGAATTTTACGTAAATTATCTGTTTGGAGGGTTGAGTAATAATGTTTAGCTTTTTGTCGAAAGTCAGGTAATGAAAATTCTTTATATACTTTAGGAAGGCCATTATAAATACTACCAACATTGTAAGAGAAACTGCATTTAAAAAGTGTAGTCGTATGCAGGGACATTCTAATATTGTTTTCTCTGAGAGTTCTACAGTGAACATCATTATCAAATGAAATTTTTTCCCTCAAATACTAAGGTTTAGACGTGAGTAGCAACTTGTGAATAAAAACTGAATAGTGATACTTGACCATGTCATTAATTTTTAACCAGTTTAGAACGGGATAACTCGAATAACGTTTTTAGTGAAATTGTCTAAACACGTATAGTATACGATATTACAATAATTTAGTATAGATATGACCAACGCTTCACATAGTTTTTTACGCAACTTAAAATTTAGTAAATAACTGTTTACTATAAGAGTACGTAGCCTTAGGTAGGTTTTCTGGGAAATACTTTTAACATGTTCGATAAACCTTAATTTTGTATCGAAAACAACGCCAAGAATTTTTCAGAATCAGAAAATCGCAAAACTTGGTTATTTATCTGAATGTTCAAGAGCTGTGTCACACTGTATGTTTTTCTTTGTGCGCAAAATAATAACATTTTAGATTTTTGTGGATTAATAAGTAGATTGTGACCTACAGAGTATTTAATTAATTTACTAGCATCGGTTTGTAAAATTTAGGTATTATTATTGACATTATCTGGGTTAAAATAATGGAGCAACTGCGTATCGCGTGCAAATGACTGTACATGAGAATTATCGATACTTTTACTCAAGTCGAACGTATATATGAGGAACAGCAGCGGCCCCAATACAGAGCCCTGAGGTACGCCTGAGGGAACTATTGTCACTTGAGACATTGCTTGGTTGAGAAAAACATAGTTCTTTGATGAAGGTAACTGTCGAAAAATGAAAGGGATACACTATCAAGACCTATATAATTGAATTTTGTAATAATTTATGATTGACGCTGTCAAAGGCTTTCGAATAGTCTATAGAGTAACGCTAGTGCCATTTTCTTATCTAAGGCACTTAAAATATTGTCTTGCAGATTGAGTAGGGCAGATGTTGTACTACAGTTTTTTCTAAAACGGGATTGAGTGTCGGGAAGTATAAAGAATCTTTCGAGGAAAGCGGTCAATTGGAACTTTATCATTTTCTCTAAAATTTTGGATGAAAGTGGTAATAAACTGATAGGTCTGAGATCATTATACTCAGTGGGTTTCATTCTTTTTAGGAATTGGAATAATTAGAGCTTGTTTCCATGTGTTTGGAAAGGAGAATAACTGGCAGGAAAAGCTGGATCATTGACAGGGATATATCATCAATTCCCTTCGCATCAGATTTTAGGCTCACTATTGCTTGTAATACGTTATTTGAGGTAATCTTATTCAATGAAAAAATATATTCAGATCTTAATTTACTTTTGAAATAGATCTCGCAAACTAGTGAATCAACATAAAATAATCATTAATTTTGGTAGGGTCATTAAAAGTTGCTGGAAGGGTTGATTTACTACGGAAATTTATATCAAGTTGGTTGAGAGACTTCCACCACAGTTTTTTTTAAGTATTTTCATTTGCCAAATTTTCGATATATATATATATATATATATATATATATATATATATGTCTTTTTATCCCTCCTGATCATGTTAAGAGCACGGTTTCTGAGCGATTTAAAGTTATTATAGGCGTCCACGGTCTTATTAGCTTTATATAAAGCTTGTGCAGTATTCTTTTTTTATCAAGAACAGTGCGCAGTTCATTAGTTAATCAAGGTGATGGTGGCTTATTGACTCTTACAGTTTTAAAAGGTGCATGTTGATTATAGGTTTTCACTATAACGCTTGTAATGTGCATCACCTTCTCATCAATATTAGGTTTCGTGAATAATTCGTCTATACCCTATGTAAAAAGATCGATAAGACAATGATCCTCACTGAAATGTTTAAAATGATTGTGATAAATTTTTGTTTTCTTCTATAAGATGGAATATCAAAATGAGAAAAGACAAGTTTGTGATGAATATGTCCTAAAACAACCTTTTAGCCGTTAATGCCTAAAAGCGTAAAAATATGTTTTCCAATTGGAAAAAAACCTTGGCACATTTTAACAACAATAGGGAAAAAGGCGTGACACTCTCATCTGAAAACTTCAGTCGAAGGTTGAGAAGTATAAAACAACATTTAGAATAGGTAAAATGCATGTTTTCTTTTTATTAACGGCTGGATAAGCACTTGTTTTTTCTCTCTCTCTCTCTTTCTCTCGACAAAATGGCAGATGACACAGTAGGAGTTTGCTTGAAAGTGCTTACTTTTTTCTTAGTTGTTGACACTTTCTCCAACACCCGTCTTAAAGTGCAATAGCTTTACGAATGTGAAAGCACAGTAATAACTCGAGAATATTTTGCAAGCGAGACTGATGCCAAAATGAGATCACCAATTTGTGGGAGCATTCGAAATTTTCGTGCGACAAACCTCAAATGCGAGACTCGAGAACTCCGCAATGTCGGTAATACCTAGTAACTATGTTCCGTTACAGTAATTTCATTTGCATAAAATGAGGCGCTGTTATTTAGTCAGAAAAGTAAACGGTATCATTAAATACCAACTTGTAGTAACGAGGTCGTCTTACTGCAATTTTTAATAAACACAGCTTTATGTGTGCAACTAGTGAATTGGAAGTTGTTGCGGTAATGCGAATGAGAATGAATCCATTAACTATTAAATACGGTCCATTACTGCCACCCTATTTTGTCCAAATAAATCAATGTTGCATCTGGTTGACCTTCTAATGGCAGCGTAACCACTAATCTATCTTGGCACGTAAACAAGCAAAAAACAGACACTGTTGGCTCGACCACAGGAGCAAATACAAATAATTCTGGAAATGGGAAGAGGGCCATCATCAGGCACACACGTAACGGAATTACAGGGTGAACAAACAGTATTTTTCAGAAGGGGTTCGCCTCTCCTCTTCTTTTTTGGGCGCATCGAGTTAGCAAGTTGAAATTTTGGGTGATGAAAATGATGCATATATACTATGTATCACTAATTTATTTGAATGGAATGGAGAGTCATGTAGATTATTCATCAATCTACAAGAATTTTCTCATAAATTTGTTTCTTTACAGTGTTTCAAATTCGACCCTCACCATTGGGATCTCGGAAACTGTAAGAGATACGAAGTCGCCT